TGTTCAACCTACAAAATACACTGGGACACTAGTGACTCAGACCTTGTGGTGGTGGCCAACCAATGATTAGTCTAACTTGAGACCCAAGCCACAAGAGGGAGCCCATGCCAGGAACTGAAAGCTGGATGGCTCAGAGATCTAAAGTAGAACCAAACACAATTGACTGACTGACTGACTGATTGACTGAATGAATGAATGAATGAATGAAGTCATTGAAATGATTCCTAATGATATTCTGCTATGCTCATAGATTGGTTCCTAGCTAAATCATCAGCAGAGAGCCTTCCTCAAGCAGCTGATGGGAGCAGATGCAGAGATCCAGTTTGTCTAACTCTCAATAGTGAGCTCTTATCTTCCTTGCATTAGTATTTTTCTTAGTCGTCCTCTATTGTATCATATTTATAAAGGCAATTTAAATTTTTTCAACCTACTTTTATAGATATTTACTAAATATTACTAGATGTATAATTTTAGTAAGGTTGTAATATGCAGAATCTTTAATAGGATATAAGTATGCAAACACAACATTATATTTTGATGGGGGGTGTCTTTCTGTATATTTGTTTCCCTTATTGGTTGATGAATAAAACACTGTTGGCCAATAAGGCAGGAAGACAGGCAGGACTAGGAGATGAGGAGAATTCTGGGAAAGGTAGCAAGAGAGATACCATGGAGAGACTGGGAGGATAGGACATGTTAGGAGTTCTCTGGTAAGATAAGGGCATGCAGTAATAAATAGATTAGTAGCTATGGGTTAATAATTAAGACAGAGCTAGCCAATAAGAAGCCCTAGTCATCAGCCAACAATTTTATAATTAATATAGTGCCTCTGCATGTTTATTTGGAGCAGTTGCAGGACCTGGAGGGAAAGAAATCACCAGCAACAGTATTATTTTTTTTAAAAGACAGAGTTAAAAGGTTTTAATGAACAATCCTCATTGGTAAAAGCACATACCTATCACCATGCCTCAAAACAGATTGTTATAAATTATTCCAACAGCCTATGACATTCGAGCTTGCCATCTCAAAACTGCTTTATAATTGGTGAGCTCATAAGCAAAGGCTCTGCAAAAACAAAAAAAGAACATCTTTTTCTGTACTCTCTGGAAACTTCCCTTCCTAGGCAGTAGGCAAAGCATTTACTGAATTACAACAACTTTTTCTTTCCTAGTAGGGATAAAGATTCTAGATACACCTTAAAAAATAATGTGCTCAAAACACATATAAACCCTTTCCTTATGGACACAAAAAAGCAAGCAGTGCACTCATGTCATGTGGTCCATGGAGGTGCTTAGCCAGCTGAGTGAGTCTTGCCTTTCCAGTCACTTTATGTTCTTCTGATGTGGGAAACTCTTGCTTGAACTACAACTAGACGTAGAGGATATGTGGTGTATCGTTGATCCATCGAAGTTTGATCCAATTTGACCAAACCTTTTATCCTGTATCATAAGTTCTTTCAGTAAATGACTCTGACCTCTGCTGGTCACTTGGGCAGCAGGGTAGCTGGCTGGCTATGGAAGGCACTGCTTTGGCACAGTTAAGACTTTGTGTTTTCTGACATCAGGTGGAGAGAGATTCCAAATTGGATATCTCCATTGGGTCCCTACCCTCAGAGCTCAGGGAACTCCTAGGAAGAGGTAGAGGAAGAATTTCAGCAGCCATAGGGGTCCAGGGCATGAAGAGAACACAAACCTACTAAGCAGCGTATATGGGGACAGAGACTGAAGTGCAATCGCAGGGCCTGCGGAGTTCTGTATGGGTCCTCTCTATATTTGTTGTGGTTGTTAGTATAGTGTTTTTGTTGGACTCTTAAAAGTGGGAATTGGGGTGTTCCCAGCTCTTTTGTCTGATTTTGTGACCCCCTTTACCCTAGTGAGTTGCCTCACTCAGCCCTAATACGAAGGCTTGTGCTACGTGTCATTGTAACTTGTTATGCAATTTTAGTTGATACTCCGGGGAGGCATGCTCTTTTCTTAATGGAAAGGGAGGAGGAGTGCATCTGGGGGAGAGGTGAGATTTAAGGCAACTTGGAGGAGTGGAGGGAGGGGAAACTTTGGTGAGGATGCAATGTATGATAGCAATGACAACAACAGATTTTGTTGTTTCTGTTCATTGATTGAGTATGGGAGAGCTGCAAATTTACAAGGGCACCACGGATGAGAGTTCCTAAGTCTAGCTGTGGACTGACATGGCCTAAATTAAAACATCAGAACATACCAATTCTGTTCAAATAAATCCAAGTGTTTCTTTCTTAACACTGCACTTTAAAAACAATCATTTGTTTAAATGACAGCTACTATAAATAGAGAGTTGATGCATTTCTAGCAAACTGTTAAAAGTAGTAATTATATACAGAATACAAACATATTCTTTGGAGTTCATTGCATTATATCCTGATCATCTGATTCTTAAAATGAAAGGGTAATTACCTGGATATATGGAATATGCAACCATAGAAACCAAATCAACTCAGAAGACACTACTTATCCAAGTATAACCAACCACTCATATTTGATGGGGGATGTCCTGTCTGTCTACTGTGAATATATGTTTCTCTTATTGGTTTAATAAAAGGCTGATTGGCCAGTATCCAGGCAGGAAGTATATGTGGGTCTACCAGAGTTGGAGAATGCTGGGAAGAGAGAGGCAGAGACAGAACTACCCAGAAGTTAGGATGCCAGGCATTTTTCCATAACCCAAGGCCACATGGAAATACTTAGATTAATAGAAATGGGCTAATAATCAATTAAGAGAGAGCTAGCCAAATAAGAAGCCTGAGCCATTGGCCAGCTTTGGGACCAGGCAGAACAGAAACTTCCATCTATACATATTTTACATAAATTTTGGGTATTTGTTCCCAAAGACTTCTGAAATTAAAAGAAAATAATATTAGCATTTTTATAATGATGAGAGTATTTCCTCCTTCAAAGAAATATGAAATTCCTTTCATAATTCACATTACAGGTAACACAACTTTCATAATTGACTACAGCATAAATCACAGAGGCTGCTGTTGCCCTGGCCAGTGGGATCCACATTTGTAACATTTGGACCTGTCTTATTAGTGCCAAGAAGCAGGTTAACTGTTATCAAAACTATTAGAACCTAATATCTCAGAATTGGCCAAGATGGGATGTGCAGGTTTATTTTATACACAAAAAATTGAGGCCAACACAGGCCTCAAGATATGCAAAAGGCTAAACCAAAGCTTTGCAATTATTTTGGGAGAAAATTTTGTATGCCTATTAAGTCATTTGATTCTAAGCATCTTTTGGCTTGCTGATGTTCCTCAAACATTGCTATCCTGTCCTGACAAGAAAGGGATTCCATGGCTGAACAGGAAAATATTTCAGAGGGGCATCTTGTGTGTAAAAAGTACTTACTCTTCCTTAAAATGGTGTGTGTATTTTCAGGCACAGGTCATGGTGTTTCATATGCTGTGGAGTACATAGTGCTTAAGTTAAAACCTTTTCATTGTAGGTCAATTGTTTAAACATGCAAAGAGAAACTCAAATAACCAAGGAAATAGAAAACACATAAACAATGCATTTGTTCAATGAAACTGAAAATACTATATCCTCAAGAACTCATGTGACACAATAAATAAAAGACTCATAGACTGATATTGGGGTTCAAGCTGCAAGCTGGAGATCAGAAATGAGAAGCAGTCATCCACTAGCTCTTACTTCTACCTCAGACTGAAAAGTGATCCTGGCTCTACCAACCTCAGACTAAAATCCCAGACTTCTATACTCTCTTCAACATGACTGGAGAATCCTGAGACTGAATATCCACTCTGAGGCCTTGATCCTGTCTTATATACCTCCCAGGTGTTGAGATCAAAGGCATGAGCTCTGTTAATTTTCATTCTTGTGTAGGCCATGGTGGCCTTGAACTAACAGAGATCCATCTACCTCTTAATCCTGAGTCCTGGGATTAAAGGTGTGTACCACCGCTGCCTGATCTCTGTAGCTTGAGGCTGACTTTACTTTCTAAATCCTCAGGCGAGCTTTAATAAATCACAAATAATATATCACCACAAATGCCATAGGATGAGAAAGAAATACAAAGGGAATTGACATGTGTTGGTTCAGATTTTAACTTTAGGAATATGAGTTCCCTACATAACGGTAACATGCAGCCTGCTCCAGCTCAGGAAATGGAACTGCAATTGCTGCAGATCAAGGAATGGTTCAAGTCAGGTGTAAGGCTGACTGAGAAAAAGCAAAACAAAAAAAGGGGTGGTAAGTGGAGAAAAAGCAAAAGCAACCAGCTTCTATGGGCCTCAGATATATTTGAAATATTTTTCATTTTTATTTACTAAATCAGCAATATTTTTTAAAATACCAATGTTTAAAGGAAGCACTCTATAGCTGTTTTGTTTCCTTCCATTTCCCTTGCCTCACCCACACCCCTCCCTTCATTTATCCCTCCATTCTTTCCATCCTTTCTTTGCCTCTCACCTTTCTCTTGGCATGTTGAAACCATTGACCTACAATGAAAGGGTTTTAACTTAAGCACCATGTACTCCACACCATATAAAACACCATGACCTATACCTGAAAATGCTGATGCCATTTTAAGGAAGAGCAAGTACTTTTTGCACAAAAGATGCCCCTCTGAAATATTTTCCTGTTCAGCCATGGAATCCTTTTCTTGTCAAGACAGGACAACAGTGTTTGGGGAGCATCAGCAAGCCAACAGATGCTTAGAATCAAATGACTTAATAGGCATACACAATTCCTACCCCCCCCAAATAATTGCAAAGCTTTGCTTTAGCCCTTTGCATACCTTGCATAGTTAATTAGCTAGGCCTTAATGTTTACATGCAATGAGAGTATCTACAGCTATAAACTACATAATTTATAATTGATGTAAATGGGTGTTATTATGTCAATTAGGCAGCTGTGTCCTCCACCTCTTGGTAAACAGCTATGAGTGATAAACTGAGTTTGCAGAGAGCTACCTTCTTCTCTTCATAACAGATAAAAATAAATTACCCAGGCCGACCAAGCTGTCCAATTGTTCTCTGTTGAAGTGGATGGAAAATCCGGGCCCTTTCTTTTGACCTGTTGACTGAAGGAGGCTGTCAATTTCTTCACGAAGTGCTTCCATACATTCAGGGTGTCTAAGAAGATAATACATTGCCCAGAACATAGCTGGAATGGTGTTTCCCATGGAAGCCCAGAGAAAGCCAAGATGATGTCCTGGGAGAAAATAAGTGAAAAGGAAGATTAATAGCGTTTATTACACTGATTAGATTTGCAGTGTGCTAATTAAAAGATGTTAGGACACAGACCCAGCCAAGGATCAGTGCATGCTAATGAGAACCAATAGGCTTCTGAAGTCTAATTTTCTGCCTAATGAGAATAGTTTAAAATGTAATGTGTGTTGGGGGGCAGAAAGGTGGGGGATGAGATAAGGGGAGTAAATGCCGCTTAGTTATACTCTTTCTCATTATCATCATTAAGTATCTTGTTTTACCACCTCAGCAAAAAAAAAAAAAAATCAATTATCACAGAGGGTTGTTTCAGAGTAAAACATTTTATCACTAGCCAATTAGAAATAGCATAAAAAATTTCAAGGTCGCCATTTTTCTTTTTATCTCAAAGGTCTCCTGTAAATTATTTTATTTTAGTGAGTAATCATTCAGAAATTTCTTACCTCCTATTTCAAAGTCTTCAGGCAGATATTGTTTCTCCAGAACACTGTGCCTTTCCTTAATAATTTCTGACCACCCTTGCATCTGAGCCAGTTTTTCTGGCATAAGGTGTTTTATAACTTTCATCTGCGCAGCTTTCGCATGTTTTAGAAGTGGAATTGGTAAATCAGATATTAGGTACGGGAACATTTCATCATATTTTAAAAAATCATCTCTTAGCTCACTGATAAGTTTTTTCCTGTTACCAGCAAGAGTTTTTCCATAAATAACTGAAAATGTGGTCTCAAATATCAGTGAGGCACAGAATCCAAACAGACTTGCCGTATTCCAATCTGTGGTTTTTAGTAGCTGGAACTCAAATATTTCTTTTAGTTGTTGGTTCGCGCATTCCAGGAGACCGTCTAAAGGTTTGCCTTGCAAAAGCAGATAGTGCCTGTGAAGATCTTCATTAAGGTCATCATCAGTCGCGAACTTCTTAATGCCAAAGGCTTTTGCTGATAACTGTCTGCTGAACTTCCAAAAGTTCAATTGTTTGGGGTTTTTCATTATGACATGGTACTGGAAAGGGTCCAGAATAAACGTGGTATACCTCCCTTAAAAAAAAGAAGAAGAACATAGTTTATTTGATAGCAAAACAAAACACATATCTGAAGTATGAAATATGTAAAACAAAATTGGAGACTTCATCAAGGAGTCAATAGTTTTTGGAGACTTCATCAAGGAGTTAATAGTTTTATCACAGGTATTTAACAGGCATCCATTCCACTCAAAGGCCAGTTCTCTCCCCCTTTGAAAATGAAAGGCAATGTGAAACATCTCTGGAAGCTCCGAGGTAAATTTCTTGAAGTTCTAAACTTCACCTCTCACTGTGGCCTGTCTCTCAAAACTGACATAAACTTTACAGAGTTCCTTGCCAAAGCCCTGCATTCCTCAGGTGAGAGAACCGGGTACTGCTCAACAGCGGGCAGTGAGGTCTTTTTCTTGCCCTTCACTGATCCTCACTCAGCTCAGCTTTCTCATTGCAGTACTGCTTTAAGATTCCTTCTGATTCCAACTATTGGATGCACTAAGCAGCAGTTATGTCTTTGTGTGTGTGTGTGAGAACTAGATAAATCGGTTTCTTTTTAAATAAAATTGTATTTAAATTAAAAAAATGTTATTTTACATATCAATCCCAGTTCCCTCTCCCTCCTGTCCTCCCATGTCCCCCACCAAAACCCCCATTCCATCCCCCATCCACTCCCCAGGGAGTGTGAGGCCTCCCATGGGGGAATCATCAAAATCTATCACATTATTTGTGACAGAACCTAGGCCCTCCCCTAGGTCCTGTATCTAAGCTGAGAGAGTGTCTATCCCTCCATAGGGAATGGACTTCCAAAGTCATCGCACTAGGGATAAATACTGATCCACTGCCAGAGGCCCCATACACTGCCCAGGCCTCCTAACTGACACCCACGTTCAGGGGGCCTGGTTCAGTCTTATGTTGGTTCCCCAGCTGTCAGAATGGGTCCATGAGCTCCCACTTGCTCAGGTCAGCTGTTTCTGTGGGTTTCTCCAGCATGATCTTGACCCGTTTGCTCACCCCTCCTCCCTCTCTACAACTGGACTCCAGGAGTTTGGCTCAGTGCTTACCTGTGGATCTCTGCTTTCCATCAGTTACTGGGTTTCCTTCCTAAAAACACCCGTAACATTGGGATAATCCCTCAGTGTCTATGTTCAGCTGTTAATGTCTGTGCTCTATTTTCTCTGTTTCTGCCTGCCTGCCTGTCTCTGTGCTCTCTGTGTGTAGTTTTCTTTCTTAGATGAAGAACTGCCTTCCCTTTGTGACTTTCTGTAATTCCAAATGTGTTACATAACTTGATCAGTTTGGTACAAGAGAGTTTAGATAAAGATTTGGAATCATTGTCAACCAAATCCTAGAGGCAGCATAAATGTGATTTTTGTTTGGCAATTTATTAAAAATACAGCTTAAGTGCTAAATATCTATGTGCACTATAAATGATGTGATTCATTTTCCTTACAGTGATTTATATCAACTCCATTTTCTCTTGATTCATTTAACAGGGCAAGGCAAGACAGAAGCCAGGGGTAGTGGGGAGGTGGCCATTCACTTTGGTTAGATACTAGCACTGCCTTCTACAAACTAAGCAGAGTTTTGTTTTCATTCTTTCTGTGTTTCACTTCAGGGACTGCAGAAAGGACCACATTGGATTTGGGCACTTTAAATCACTTGCTTTACCATTATGACTTAATTAAAATTGCCAGCATCTGTCTGACAAATAATCGGGAGTGCGGGAGTCAATTTTTTCATTTTTCAAAACAGATAGTATTAGGCAAAGCTATGTATTTTCACAGGTGAGGATTCATTCATGCTTCTTCCCAAATGAAGGAGTTTGTTAAACATTAATAGTTTTTTTAAAATTAGTATCCAAAATTCAGAGTGTATGTATACCAAGTTTAATTTGTAAATCACAATCTTTGGGCAATATTTTGAATTTTAAATCATTTTTTATATTCATCTAAATCCAAAAAGAAATAAAATGTATCAGCCCAGGCACTATCAGCTGCTATAACTTGGCCTTTGAGGCAGAGGCTGGATAAACACGTGATTTTTTGCTGTCTGAAGTCATTAGAAATAGACACATTCTTAATATTTCTCTTTCTCTCTTTCCTATCTTTCTCTCCTCACTATGTCTCTCCTTTTATTTTTCTCCCTTCCTCTTTACCTTCCCCTATCAGAAGAAAATATCAGGTTCATTTCAGATGAAAATATAAACAGGGAATGTGAAATAATTGGTTAAAGTCAACAAACAAATTTAATCTGCTGTAACACTTGATTGTGTGTGTGCTGTATTGTGTGTAGGCGCACAAGTGCTCTGGGTGTACATGTGCCACAGTGTGCTTGGAAAGCCAGAGGACAACTTGTAGAAGTTGCTTTTCACCGTTACCTTGTTGCTTCTGCTATTGTGTTATGTACCCAAGGCTGATTGTGCAGTGAGCTTTCAGGCAATTTTCTTTTCTTTGCCTCCCAGTGGTGTGTGTGTGTGTGTGTGTGTGTGTGTGTGTGTGTGTGTGTGTGTGTGTGTGTGTGTGTGATGATGTTGACATCACAGATGTGCAGAACTGTAACCAAATCCAACTGGGGATCCAACTCAGTGATGGTACTGCAATCACCACTTTTACCACTTTGAACAGGTGTGTGTGTGTGTGTGTGTGTGTGTGTGTGTGTAAGTGTGTGTTGTAGGCATGTCTTGTGGGTGTGTGCCTGTATATATGCAAGTCCATGTGAACATGGAGTGCAGAAACAAATACCAGCTGTCTCCCAGTCACTCTCCATCTTACTTTTTGAGCCAATATCTCTCACTGGATCTGAGGCTCATCATTTCAGCTAGGCTGAATGGCAAGTGATCTCCAGGAATCCACCTGTCTCTGCACACTTAAGGACACACTTCTCCATCCCTGGCTTTTACATTGGTGCAGGGGGGAAGGGGATCCAAACACCAGGTTCTTAATGCTTGTGTATCTGGCAGGGTACCAAATGAGCAGCCTCCCAGCCTTTATAATAAGTTCTTTAAGGGACCCTCATGGAGAAGTTCAAACTAACTTTTCTCTCTAGGATCCACAACTTTTCTGACTTATTCCGATTTTAAACTTCTTCCCTAACATGACATTACTTACTTGCCTTTTACCTTACATCCTTCTGAAGGAGATGAGGATCACTTTAAAACTGGACATTTTGGTTTTCTGACCATACTTTTCAAGTAGGTTTGGAAGTACCAATAACCCTGGAGATTTTAGCTGGTTTTCCAACTTTTAATCTTCAGTATAAACAATTTAAGCTAAGTTTTCCAAAATTAATATTAATTTAAACCATCTGTCCACCATCTGCTAATGTGAGATGCAAAACTAGAGTTTCTTTGTGTTCTGTAATCAGACAGTTAGGAAAATACATATACATTTATGAAATGAATTTAAATTTCCTAACAAAGAAATTTTTCTGAAAAGTTATCTTGAAGGCTATGAATGCTCAGAGAGAAATTAACTTTTGCTCAGTGTGATTTTTATGTAAATGGATGCCAAGTGTCAACAGGCATGTCACCTAGTTCACAGAGGTACCAACATAAAAACAATACCCTTTGCCATATTTTCAAGAGAGGAGAATGTTGCTGGAAATGGATATAAGATATTGATTTTAAGAATTTCAGAGTTTGCATTTGTCTAAAATGTAAATGTCAAAATGAGGTCCATGTTTGAAAAGATATAGTATAAAGTAATTTTTCTGCCCATTAGGTTAGAAATGGGAAAAACAATTTAAATATTTTCCTTGCCAATTATTTTATTTTTTCTTCCCCTTTATGGAGCAGACTTTGATTATTAATCCTATCATTCTTAGATAACCCACAAGGCTTTCCAAAACCAATACACCTTTTTCTTTCTTTATATTATTTACTTAGGAAGCTAATGCTACAAAATTCAAAATAGTTTGATAGAAATGTTTTTAAATATAAACTTAATTACCTTGAAGTCTTATACACAAGAAATCTGACTTTTAGATAATAAGAGAGTTTTGCTGTTTTTATGTTGATTTGGTACCAAGTAGACATAGGCCTGGGAATTCAAGTCAGTTGCTTAATGAGCTTAATAAAATATAAAAAAAAGCTGATTCCAAATAAGTTTTCTAAAATTATATGTTTTGAATCTCCTTGTGTAGGTAATCCTCTGGCAGGTTTAGGGTTGAATGTCACCCTGTGAGCATCAGCAGGGAAGCTGAATTTGATTTGCTGAGAATGGCCGATATTGTGTGCTGACTCCCCTTTATTATGGAGATTTCCCTAACAATTGACAATGATGTACAGTAGAGTTTCTCTGGGGTGACATTTAGGGAAAATGATTCCATTGCACTAACACACAAAAACCAGCAAGAAAACTGTTTTCTGGGGCAGGTCAGGGATTTATGTGGTTTCTCATGGAAGGCTGTAATTTTAAATTCATTTATTAAGCTGAAAAT